ACTGATTGGTTCAAAACTGAGAAAGGAGTTTGGCAAGGCTGTATACTGTCCCCCTCCCTATTTAACTTACATGCAGAGCACGTTATGAGAAAGGCGGGCCTAGATGAATCACTAGTTGGAATTAAGATTGCTGGGAGAAATATAAACAACCTCAGATATGCGGAATATACCACTGTAATGGCAGAAAGTGATGAGGGACTAAAGAGCCTCTTGATGCAGGTGAAGGAGGAGAGCACAAAAATTGGCTTGAAACTCAAAATTAAGAAAACTAAGATCATGGCATCCAGTCCTCTCAGTTCCTGGCAAATAGATGGGGAAGAAATGGAGGTAGTGACAGATTGTATTTTCCTGGGCTCCAAGAGCACCCCAGATGGGGACTGTAGCCAAGAAATTAAAAGACGCTTGCTCCTGGGGAGGAAAGCAATGGCAAATCTAGACAGCATACTAAAAAGCAGAGCCATCACCCTGTCAACAAAAGTGCGTATAGTCAAGGCTATGGTTTTCCCAGTTGAAATGTATGGCTGTGAAAGTTGGACTGTAAGGAAGGCTGAGTGCCAAAGGATTGAGGCCTTTGAATTGTGGTGCTGGAGGAGACTCCTGTGAGTCCCTTGGACTGCAAGGTGATCAAACCGGTCAGTCCTAGAGGAGATCAACCCTGACTGCTCTTTAGAAGGCCAGATACTGAATATGAAACTCAAATACTTTGGCCCCCTAATGAGAAGGAAGGACTCCCTGGAGAAGAGCCTAATAGATGGCAAAAGAAGAAGGGGACGGCAGAGAATGAAGTGGCTAGATGGAGTCACTGAAGCAGTTGGTGTGAGCTTCGGTGGACTCTAGGGGATGGTGGAGGACAGGAAGGCCTGGAGGAATGTTGTCCATGGGTTTGATGAGTCGGACACGACTTCGCGACTAACAACAACAACATTATTCTATCAGTCCTGAATGGAGGGCATTTGCAAGACAAAGCACCTGTTTGTGAAATATGCAGATCATTTGAAAG